GAAGTAAACTTCAATAGAGAAAGAGGAAAGCCTTAAATGAAAATCTTGGCTAACAACTCATGGTTCTTGCATCATGACAATGCACCAGCTCCCATAGCACTGTCAGTGAGGGAGATTTTAGCCAGTAAACAAGTAACTGTATTGGAACATCCTCCCTACTCAACTGATCTGGCTCCAATAACTTTTTTCTTTACCTGAAAAATACTGAAAGAAAGACATCTTGATGACATTAAGGGTAATATAATAGCTTTGAAGGCTATTACAGAAAAAACAGAGTTCCATAATTGCATTCGAGAGTGGACTAGGCACTGGAATTGGTGCATAGTTTCCCAAGTGGAGTCCTTTGAAGGTGGCCATAGTGATATCCAGCAATGAAGTATGTAGCACTTTTTCTAGGATGAGTTTGCAAACTTAATTGTCAGACTTTCTATGTTCTCTGCTCCTAGAATCATAAGGAATTAGAGACATGTGCCAAAATGGAGTTTAGAGCTGCTCTCTCATTTTTCTCACTTTTTGAACAAGAGTTCTATGTTGTCTGACTCAACATTATATTCTGAGTGAATATGGGAAAGAAAACTCATCTTCAGTTTCGTGCATCTTTAGAGAGGAATTGCGGCAAAGATGCCTCCTATGGGAGAAAGTGATTTAGATAAGATCCTGGGCCTTGAGCTTGAATCTGATGCCATATTGAGACTTAAGGTTTCTTGAGAGGTGGTTAGTGCATTTTCCCACGTGTCAGGAATATGAATTACTACGGCCAGAAGGTGTTTTATAAAAACCAATCACTGAAGATCGCAGTCATCAATCTTTTCCTTCTTGTGTATGCACACCCCTTCCCCAACAAGAGGTAAAGGGTTGTCTTTTATTTTTTTGTGCCTTTTTTAATCTGGAAAAATCCAAATGGATTACTTCAACCAACACAATGCAGTGGAAATTATGTTCTAAGACTTCCAAGACAGGGTCCCAAAAGGACTCAGCTTCTATAAACCTCTTCTTGGAAAGCTCACACAGGTTGCTACTTCTTAGATACAAGCCACCCATCTTTGAAAAACTCCAAACCTTATGAAGATACCACATAATTGAAGTGTGGTAGCTGAGTTCCCAGCTGATAGCCACTGTTAACTACCAAGCTTGTGAATGAGCTATTTTGGATGTTTCAAGCACAATACAATCCCTAGGTAATTGTAGCTCCAGCCATCATTATGTGCAGCAGAACAACTCAGCTGATTCCTATCAATTCACAGAATTATGAGGGAAGTGGAAACAGTTGATGATTTGAGCCGATTAAATTTGGAAATAATTTTTAATAGAAAACCAAAAATGTTTCATGTATTCATGTGTTACATTTTGCATCCCTGTCCTGACATCATTCCCACTGAGATAATAAACACTATGCTGAATCATTGACTTATCATTACTTTTAAAGTTTTATCACATTTCTGTATTCCTACATAATACAATTTAGGTTTGTTTTTTACTTTATAAAAGCTGTTATCACAATGTATGTACACTTCTGAGACTTTACTGTTATATTTCTAAGATTCCTGTAGGTTGCTGAAGGTAGTTGTTCTCCCTACTAAATAAAATTACAAAACCTACAATTTATATGAGGCCTGATAATTAAGTGTATGAGAAAAGGAGCTACGTACCTCATTGTTGAATATTATCACTGCAGTCACCTTTGTACTATGCCCCTGGAGATCCTATGCACTGATATCAGTCCACCCTTCAAAGTAATTTTGGAACTCCTTCTCTAGAATGACCATCAGAGTTGTCAAACAAAATTACAAAACCTACAATTTATACAAGATCTAACAATTAAGTTCACAAACTTAATTGGCAGCACTATACAAACAACTTCCTAAGATTTCATCACTTCGGTATGTCATTGTCTCGCCACTGTGTTTGTGTCGACATGTGTTATTGTGCTAAGTGGCATTCATTATTAATGTTGCATATTTTTGTGTGCCATACAAGGACAGCTCTGATGGTCATTCCAGAAAAAAAGGACTTCCAAACTGCTTTGAATGGGAGCACTTTGAAGGTAACCATAGTGATATTCAGCAAGGAGGTACATACCACTTTTTCTATCATGCGTTCGCAAACTTCATTGTCAGAACTTTATATTTTATTATGTCAATGGAAAGTTAACTGGTTGCACACAGGGCTGCCACGAGCATTATAACATGTGTACTTGGAGGCGTATGTGTGCAAGAATTTCTCTACGTATACATGCAGAGGTAGAATGGTTAGGTATGTGAATATATAACTCTGTGAGGCAGTGCCAAATTCCTTTCTGAAGAGTGTATCAACTCGACATCCTACCTGCAATGTTAAAAGGTGTCTTTCAATGCACATGGTCTTCATTGGTTTATCTTATTTCTTAATTTTTCAATCTTGTGTAAAATACTATTCATTATATTCTCAATTAATCACTTATGAGGTTAAACATAGTTTTCATGTGTTCAGTCATACCCCTTTAAAATACCTGGTTTCTGTCTTTTGCTCATTTTTCTACAGAACAGTGACAAATAGAAGAGGCGGTAACAAGCATCCTTCTTGGACTTCTGGCTTTTAATGCACACAATTTCATCATCATGCACTGCCTTTTCACACAGTAAATTCTGCTTATTAATGGGGCTTTTGACTTATATGTTAATAAGTTTTCTTCTCTTAACTGAATGTGTCTCATTTTAGTATCATTAAGTTAAACCAGCCCCATGCAATAAGCTGGAAATTATTCCTTTATCGTCTATTCTTAGAGTTTGTTTTATACAAACTGCTCAAATAGAATGGCCTTTGAAAGAGGGGTAAAACTTAACTGTAAACCTGTGACAGGTATTGTCAAAAATTTTTTCATTAGTCTTATCTTTTTTCCATCTCTGCTTCATCTCTGTGGATAGGCCTCCCTTTTCAATCTCTGTTGTTTACTTCTCCATTTTCTTCTTGTTCAATTATGCCAGTTTTATTGTTTTGCATGAAAACAACTTTGACATAGTGACTACCTTTTTTAAATTCACTGATTTACTCCCTTGCCTATATTTCATTGCTTTTACATTCTGCTTTTTTAAAAACTTATTACATATTTAATATTTTTCCTGATTTAAGCATTTAAAGCCATTTTCCTTCAAAATGCTGTTTCTGCTGCATCACCCAATTTTTTAAAATGCCTTACTTATAATTAGGCCCTATTAATAAGGATTTGTTTCCTTGTTTCATTTTTAAACATTTTAAAAACTGTATGATTTTTAAAAACTTAACCTTTATTATTTACCTATTCTTGTTTCAGGATATCTACTTAAAGCCAATTGTTTGAAATTTATTGTGATTTATTCTAGCACATGTTCAATTTTTGCTAATATACAATACTTTAGAAAAATAGTTGTTAAATATATTCTTCTAAATATGTCCATTGAATCACATCGCCATTGCATTATTTAAATGTCTTCACCCATTCTTTGCTTGATGTACAGGCAGTCTCTGGGTTATGAATGAGGTAGGTTCTGTAAGTTTGTTCCTACATTGGATTTCTAGGTGGGACAGGTACATTTGTCTATCACCCGTAATAGCCTCTATACGTGTGAGTCATTCATAATTCAGATGTTTGTAACTTGGGGCCTGCCTGTATCAATAAGTGAGAGCTGTTGAAATTTTCTACAGTAGTTCAATTTGTGGCTCCAGACCTACATAGTTGGTACATTTTGAAGCTATTTCATAAGGTATATAAAAATTGAAAATTATTATATATTCCTAGTGAATTGATCCAGTTACTATTTTTAATGGCTTTCTCCATCTTTATATCATAAAGTCTACTTTTTTTTTTTTTTGCAGTTTTGGCCAGGGCTGGGTTTGAATCCGCCAACTCCAGCATACGGGTGAGCACTCTACTCCTTTCATCAACAGGTGCCACCCCATAAAGTCTAATTGTGATTAATACCACTAAAGCTACACAAGTTTTTCTTTGCTATTTAGCTAATGCATTAACTTTTTTACCTTCAATCTCCTAATGTCTTATATTGTAGATGCTTTTCTTTTAAAGTCTGTAATTAGGAATTTTTTTTTTTTTTTGAGACAGAGTCTCAAGCTGTCCCCCTTGATAGACTGCCCTGGCATTACAACTCACAGCAACCTCAAACTCTTGGGCTTAAGCAATTCTCCTGCCTCAGCCTCCCAAGTAGCTGGGACTACAGGCGCCCAACACAACACCTGGCTATATTTTTTGTTGCCATTGTCATTGTTGTTTAGCTGGCCCAGGCTGGGTTCAAACCTGTCAGCTTTGGTGTGTGTGGCTATGCTACTGGCACTGAGCCCTATAGTTAGGATTTTTTAAAAAATCTATCAATTTGTCATTTAATTAGGTAATTCAATCTACTCACATTTAATTATCATTAAACTTGATATTATCATCTTACTTACATCGAACCTTGCCCCACCCCCCAAATTTCTTTCTTTATTTGTATTGAATTATTGCCTTCCTACTCTATATTTTAAACTTCTTTTGCTTTGGAATGATTAATCCCCTATTAATTTAGCAGTTACCCTTTAAATATGACTATAGATATTTAACATAATCAATTTTAAAGTTAAACAGTATCTTAACCAGTTTTCTGAATAATAAAAATGCCACAGAACACTTTAATCAACCTTTCCCACCTTATGAGCTACTATCCAGTTTGTTAGTTAGAACCTTATTTTACAATTCCACATTATTAATGTTGCATAAGAAGTTTATTTCATTTTACATTTGTTTACAATTCCTTAAAAACATTTCTTCATCATGATTGTTTTATGCAAACAACATTTAAATTTGCAATTGTTTATTAGTTTATTTGCTCATTACTTCTTCAGTTTCAGATCATCCTTTGGGAATCGTTTTCCTTCTTGAAGATCATCCTTTGGCAGTTTCCTTAATGAAGGTTGGCTGACGTAAAATTCATTTTTCATCTGAACGTGTATTTATTTCAGTTTTATTTGGTGTAGATTCTGACAATCAATTTTTATCAAAATTCTGAAGATATTATTCTATCATCTTCGGTACACGGTTGCAGCTGGGAAGCCTGCTAAGCATCTGTCTTGCCTTTATAATGATGATTTTTCCCCCTTTGGGTTGGTTTTGTGTGTTTGACACCTTGCAGTTTCCTACCTTGGGTCTAGGGATGAATTTTATTTGAGTATGTTTTGGGATTTGTTGTGCTTCCCGAATTTATGAATTCATGTGTTTCCAACAAATGTTGAAAATTCCGTCATCTCTTCAAATATTGCCTCTCTTCCTTTCTCTCCTCCTGGTCTTTATACTTATTAATTTTCTAATAATTTTTAGCTCCTTATTTCTTGCCTGCTCAGTGGGTTATGACTTAAATCTAGCTGCCAGCTCTCTTGTCTCTTCACCTGATGCTAATGATACTCAATGTGTCTAAAAGTTTCTTTTTTTCTTACTTCAATAAATATACATCTCAGTTCTAAATTGTTTCTTTTTCACACCTGCCTGTGGTTACATCCTTCATTTCTTATGTTGGTAATGAGATTTGGGGAAATGAATTCACTGTTTACTTTTTCTATAGGTTCTTTCTCATGCTCGCTAGTTTCAACTTATGCCTTGTGATCTACAGTCATGAAATACTACTACTTGACCATAATCTATGGGAATCTTAGACCTAAATAAGGAACATTTGCCTTTGCTTCTGCCAGGAGCTAGAGTACTACAAACTGAGGGCCATTTAACTTTCTTTAACTGACCTTTCTAGAACAGCATCTCAGATTTGGGTCTCTCCTTGTTTCTGATTTGAGGCAAACTACATGTGCCATGCTGCTATTGGTATCTGCCATACTGGAAGCCATAGTCCACTTCTGTGCTTAATATAATATTCGTGATTCCTAACATAAAACATATTCAGTTTTGTAGAGGAGGAAACAGAGCGGTGAATCTTGAAGATTTCTCATACTTCCTTTGAGCCTATTTAAAAGTAGATTTTATTCAGGACCTAGTTGTTTTACAATTTCTAGTCTACCATACTGCTGAGAGAAAAAGTCTTATTTTATATATTAAATATATTAAAACTATTATGATATACTTCAGGATTACTTCAGGTTGTCAACAATAACCTGAAAAAGCACATAATTTATGTCATTCTTCAACGACTCAAACCTCTCCAGAAAGGTTTTCTACTCCTTGATTAGAACAAAAGCATACAGTTTATTGGAAATGAATATATATTAGAAAGGTTCAAGAGGATGAACTAACCCCAAGGTTGCCCCACTTGGTAGAAATTTCTCCTAATCTTCTATTATTAAGATAATGAGTCAACACTTGACTGTTCAGCATTTAATGTCCTGATTAATGTGTGATCCAGATTAGTAGGACTAATATCTGTGATCAGTAATATCCCATCATTTTGAGCCTTTTAAAAATAGATAATAATGATTTGTTACATGCAGTTTCCCTCTAGATGCACACCTTTATTTTTGGAAACCTGGGCCACCTATAATATAAACAGGCTAACCAAGGCAGCTGGTGATTTCCTTTTAGTCAGAAAACATACCTCATTGGTATTATGGCAGCAGATTTGGTGGCTACTATCTTAAATACAAATGGATTGTTTATAATTTTATTACTCATAATTGTTGATCAGTATTCTCTGGATGATCAGGAAGATCTTTGTGCCTCACTCTAATCACTGAAGTAGTGGAAGGAGATACCCGCAGCAAGGACTGTAACTGCAAATGCTGCGATCATACCTGTAAGTAAAACAAACAAAACAAATGAAAATGGAATGACTGTAAGAAAGGCTTAACTAATCCTGGGTTTGGAAATGTGGGTGACAGATGGGTCAAAACAACGATACACACATATATACATACACATATGCTATCACAGACACACACACACACAAGTATGTACTAAAACCCAGCCAAATCTTAGAGAAAATTACAGAAGTTGATTATTTGTATTGCAAATGTTAGACAAAGTGTCTCTCTTACACACACGTGTACTCTCAGACATACCTAAGAGAAAACCTAAAATTCCTTAAACAGATTCTATAGATGTATTGACATGCAAGCTGTCTCAGAAACTAAACGGAGTAGCCTAGACATAAACGCACACACGTGCACACAAATACAAATTAATCTAATGACTGACAAAAACTACAACTAAGTCTTCTGGCTCATAATTCTCAGGGAAAAGCCTTTTTTTTTTTTTTTTTGCAGAGACAGGCTTTATCACCCTTGGTAGAGCTGTGGTGTCACAGCTCACAGCAACCTCCAACTCCTGGGCTTAGGCGATTCTCTTGCCTCAGCCTCCCAAGTAGCTGGGCTCAGTGAAAAGTCTTCATGCTTAACATTTCTTAAGTTGTCACTCCACTGAACAGTCTACATGTTCTTTATTTAAAAACTCTGAAAAAATGTTCAAGAGACATTTGCACTTCTTAAACCCTATAAAATACAAAATTCATTATACATTTCCAGACTTCAATTTGACTTTTTTTCATTGGACACCCATCAAAATCTCTTGCAATGGTAATTCTAGGAATGTTTGGAAAATATTAGCCTTTCTACACTAACATATTTTTGAAACTACATTCTTTTCTTCTAAAAATACAAAAAGAAAATAGGATGTGTCATCCCTGAGGGCACTTAGAAGATAACACATTATTTATAAATCTTTCTAGCTCTAGGGCTTGGCATATTCTATAATATCCAACAAATACTGACTTAATTTAGCATTTTTAAGAAAGCAAAATGAAATGAAGATAATTTTAAAGTAACAGGAAAACTCTTATCCAAAAATTATCTTTTCAATGTTACAGAAGAAGTAAAATACCTATGTTTTGCTGAATCTTCAATGCTATTGTGGTTTTAATTGATTGCTCTGGTTGTTCATCATCAGTGTTGTCCAATGAAGCTTGACTATTCACAGAGGAACTCATATAAGCTGCAAGAGGATAATAATAATACTAAATTCCACAAAAAGTAAGAATTACCATTTTAAAAAGTTTTAAAACACATTATAAAGAAATACAAAATCAAAACCATTTTCCTTCCATATGCCTTTCAAGTAATATAATGAATTTGCTCCTTATCAAATGAAAGTGAATTAAATTTAATGGAATATATGTCAAACTGACATAGTTTTCAAAACAGTTCATATAGCTTTATCACTGACACAGAGCCAGGTCTAGATAACTCTTAAAAATTATAATTTATTTATTATATAGTAGTAGAGATAAACTGATACCAAAAACCACACCAGATAGTAAAAGGGTAAATTTCAATATTAATTGAGACTAATTTATATTATTCTTCTTGGTGGTTTCAGCAATTAATAATTTAAGTTGCTATTAACAATAAAACCATGGATTAACAAACTGCAGCCCATGCCCAAGATTTGTCTTTTTGGTTTTTTTTTTTACAGCTCTTGAGCTAAAAATGAATTTTTAAACCTTTAAAGGGTATAAAAAAAGAATATGTGAAAGAAACCTTATGTGGCTGACAAAGTCTAAAATATTTCTTATTTGGTCTCATACAAAAAAGTCCGCTTACTCTTCATCTAATTGGAAATTTGAAATATTCAAAGATACAAGCAAAACATGATTAGAAGTTTTATCTTAGAAAACTCTGAATATTTAGCAAGGTAAGGATGTTATCCCATTTCACAGATGAAAAACAAAACCTGGGAGGTTAAGTGCACATTTAAGGGTCATAGACAGTAACCTCAGGACTGAACATAAGTTACAAGTTCTCTTTCTACTTCATTATGCTGACAGCAATTTATGTAGGTTGGCCTAACTGAATTTAATGAACATGTCTGAACTGATAAATTCCCTACAGGTCACACAGGCCAGTGGTTTTTAGTATTTTTTTTCTAATGTTTAAGAAAATAAATAGAATCCGAAAGAAAATCTCAAGTATGTAAATAGATGAAAAGCAGTCCTGCTCAGGCTGAAGCAGGGACAGAGAGCTCCTGAAGTGATGCACCTCCTCTCTTCCCACCACCCAGAGGTGGAGTAGAGTGTGCTGCTCTGTAGGACTCTCCAGAGCAGCAAATGAAAGCAACTACATTGGATTTATCCCATTATTTACAAAAAAAGAGGGCAGAACTAAGAAAAGAGAACTGCAGGATGAAAGAGAAATATTACTGTTTAAATTTAAAGCAAAATAGCCTATTATTTGAATTTAAAATGTTCCTGTAGACATCTATGTATCCCAACATACTATGGATGACATATAAACTTAATGAAATAAATATCTATGATGCCAAAATAAGTGAAAAAAAAAGAAAAAGATTATCTACTTATTAATTTCCCATAAAGAAAAGTTTACTGTTATTTTCAATAATTGCTAGTAGCTATTTCATTAGAATAGAGGGCACCACCATTATTTTTTCTCTTTAAGCATATAACTAAAGTACTTTAAGAACAAACAAAAAAACTTCTTCTCTTTTATTCTACTCTTACATCAAATCAGTCAAAAAGACAACAAATTCTTCTGAAGCATCTTAAAAACATCCAGTAGTCTTCTCTATTTCAACCGTTTATATTATAGTAGTTTTTTCAGGAGCTATAATACGGTAATCAGTAGTTCTAGATTACATTAACTCACTAAATTAAAACTTCTTCCAACTTTAGTCTATAGCTCTAAAAGTTGAATGGATAATATGTTATTCATGCTTAAACAAATGAACAAAAAGATCGTCTCTTCTACGAGCAAGTATATCTTCCAAAAAGTTTTTCTTTCATATTTGAGCCAATAAAATCCTATTTCAGATAAAAATAATAAAGTATTCATCATACCTACTTGCTATAGGAATTTCTTTACTTGAATATTTGTATACAAAGCACATGAAAATATATTACACATTTAATATTGAATTGCTACATATGAGGATCATGCTCTTATAAGTCAAAAGTAATTTATTTCTATAAAAGACATTCCACTGCTTTTCTTTCCATTTTTAAATCTGTCATACAAAATCATGTGATTTGATACAAATCTGAGATAATTTTAACAAAGCAGAATGTTTTTCAAGGATGAATAAGGACTTATCACAACAATTTATTTATCTGTTTATGGTGGTGGCTACGAGATTTTAACTCAAATCTCAGGCATTGTGTCACTTCACCAATATTTCAATATGTTATCTGAAATTTAAATGCAAATAACATGATTCAACAGGAAAACCAATCCCTAAAACCATGTAATTTTAAATTCAGACAAATTCCAAATTAATCATGTAAGATAGTAACCTTGAGTACCTGTCAACAAAAGAGAAAACAAGGGTCATGGTGAATGCATGCAAAGTTGTAGATGTGCTTAGATTTCATTCCAAGATACTGATAGGTAGGCAGGACTATTTAGAAGCTTAAAATGAAATGTTAGAACTTGAACTCTTTAGTTGTCATCTTCTCTATCCCTAAATCCAAAATTATGATGTATCACTATAGTCAGCAATTTAGCCATAAAATTACATCTCCTGTATTACTCATTTTTCCTATATAATTAAATTATCAATGTTTAACTAAATAACAAAAATTAATTTCAGCTCTGATATCAAGACAGAACTGGCAAAGATTAGTTTCACTACATTTTAAAGATATGCCTGAAAATTTTTTTAGCTGATACTATGGATAAACTACATCTGATTTATTAAGTTAAAGTCTACTAGGAGATGACTAACACATCTAAGAAATTTTAAAACCATGGCTATCCCTCACCTTAAGTGAGTCATTTTGACAAACAAGTTGTTCTTCATCCCTTAAGTCATCTAAAAGTATGTTATTTTAAGATACTTACTTGGCAAAATATGTATTTTAAACATAGCAACTACTTGGCAACTATATTATATAAAGTAATTAAATAATAATTGAGCAAATAATACAAGTTGAGTATACCTTATTCAAAATGCTTAGGACCAAAAGTATTACAGATTTCAGATTTTTCTGGATTTCTGAATATATGAATTATCCTTACTTGACTGATCATTCCGAATCAGAAATCCAAAATCTGAAATGCTCCAATGAGCATTTCCTTTAAGCAACATGTTGACATTCAAAGTTTCAGATTTTGGAGCATTTTGGATTGTCAGATTAAATCTTCAGTGTCAAATATTTTGAAAATAAAGCCAGATATTTATAACAAATCTAATGCTCCTAAATGTACAATAACTGATTTCAGTTTTTCAATTTGAATACTTGAACTCCACTTTTTAGAGGTTATATGGAAATCCTAATTTGAAATATTTAGGAAAATCTTGGCATGTTCCAAATGGAAATGTTCCAAAGAAGATTTCCTTTGAGTGCCCCCAAAGTTTCAGATTTTGGAGCATTTCAGATTTTGGATTTTCAAACTAAAGATATTCAACCTGGAATAATGATGAAAAAAGGGAAAAATTACTATTATAAAATTTTAATGTATTCATACCAACACTGTTACTGTAAATTATAGGCTATTGCTAATAATTAAGAGATTTTTTCTGATTAAATTATTGACCAAAACATTGTCAGATGTTTATATTCATTATAATCATTATCACTAATCTTCATTAAGTTCTTAGGTACTCTGCAGACCTTACTACATTCTCCGTATAATTAGTAATACACGCACATTCTATCTTCCAAATCAGAAAAGAAGTTAGTTATTCCTTACATAAAACCAATGCTTAATAAATATCTGATAGACATACTAAATGCTGCAAACTAAATTAATATTTCTGGGACAATAATGAGTGGTATATATCTTCATAGAAAAGACAGTTTCATGTCTTTTAAATGTTCCATACCCCTTAAGATGTTCTGAACTATTGAGCCATAGAACTATGACTATTACAGCCTTTTTCAAACCCTAACCCTAACCCTCATCATGTTCAGTACAGTGCACTACACAAACCTTAAAAACCTGGCTAGGCATAAACTTATAATTTTTCATAAGCACAAAATAAGCATGAAAAGGATGTTCTAAAGATTTCCTAAAAGTGATTTATTCAGTATTTATTAATCTGTATTAATTTATTATTATTATTATTGCAGTTTTTAGCCAGGGCTGGGTTTGAACCCACTACCTCCAGCATATGGGACCAGCGCCCTACTCCTTTGAGCCACAGATGCTGCCCTTAATCTGTATTAATTTATTAGTAGATACTATGAGCACCTATTGTGTTTTAGGCAGAAAGCTCAGATAAAGAAATATTAACTCTCAAAGATCTTACAGTCTAATGTGGAAAAGAAAATCATTAAATATAATTTGCTACCAGTTACCAAAAGCTAGAAAAAAAAAATTAAAAAATGCAAATGATTTAAAAAATTTTAAGTGAACCTAGGGCAATGTGGAGCTGGAGTTGGAGACTGAGACCAGGGGCCCAGAGTGACGCTCCCCGCCCCAGTCTCAGGTCACCGACTAACTATGCAGAGAAGGAGATCCAGAGTTCTAATCTGAAACCGTCCGTCATTGGGGACAGATGGTCCTGGGAATTAGAAAGCCAAACAGGAGCAGGAGAAGGAAGTGGCAAAAGTCACTATCAAGAAGGAAGATCTGGAGCTGACCATGACAGAGATGGAGATCTCTGGAGCAGCAGCAGAAAGGAGCTTGCGGGGACACATGGACAATGTGGTAGAGGCTTTTATTGCCCTAACCAATGGATGTGTGGTTTCTCAGATATACTTACTGGATTAACTTACTGCAGTAAAGATTTTGTCTTTTGAAAAAAAAAAAAAAATTAAGTATGTAAAGTAATACCTGTTAAAAGAACAGCACAGAATAGCGAAGTAGTAAGAAAGTTTAGCAGAATTGTTGACATAGTCTGAGCTCATCAAAGTTAATGACAAGTTAGTTATCTACAAAGACATTTTTTAAAAAATTCTACTTAGCTCCTTAATCAGAGGATCTGCATTTTGTTATTCTTTGGACCAAATCCCTATGACTGACAAAATCAGTAACTTGATAAAATTTTACTGAATACTTAACACGCTAACGCTAAGCTTTTAGTAAAGTGCTAGAAATGCAATGTGAACAGGAGGGGCACAGCCCCTTCCTTGTGAATCTTAGGGAAAAATAAAAAAGTTTGCTGAAATGTATATATAATAGTTTTATAAGAGTTTGACTTTAGTGGGTTTTAGTTTTGTTTGGGGGAGGCTGTCATGCAAGACAGCTATAGTTACCTCATAAGAATATACTACAGTGGGTTGGGCTTGGAGACTCATGCCTGTAATCCTAAACTTTGAGGGGTCAAAATGGAAGGACTGCTTGAGCTCAGGAGTTCAAGATCAGCCTGAACAAGAGTGAGACTCCATCTCCACTAAAAATAGAAAAATTAGCCAGGCATTATGACAGGTGCCTATAGTCCCAGCTAGGTGGGAGGCTGAGGCAAAAGGATTGTCTGAACCCAGCAGTTTGAGGCTGCTTTTTGTGAGCTAGGTTAAGGCCAAGGCACACTAGCCTGGGGCAACAAAGTGAGCCTCTATCTCAAAAAAAAAAAAAAAGAAAAAGGAATGTATTACAGTGGGAAGCTTCTTAAGTTTTTTTTAAATGTCTTAGCCATATAAAGAATATTAACCTGTTATTGTTTTAAAGTATAACTTAAAAAGCACAAAATAAAATATAAACTAATCTATGTGCTTAGTGTTTAAAATACAACATGAAATTAAAGCATGAGTTAAAAATATTTAAGGCAGATGACAACCTTGAAAATCTAAATGAAATCTCTCTCAATTCATACTTTTTTATATCAGATTTTAAAATACCTTGTGAATGGGACAAGTAACACATACAAGCTACCTTTGGTCATTCTTAGTTTAAGAATGTGATATGCACTAAGAGTGTGACAAAGAATTTGAAAAATACAAAAACAATATATCACAGATCCAAGATTCCATTCAACAAGGAGTAAATTACACTGACATAATCTAGAGGAAATTCATCAAGAATAATATAACATCATTCATTTACACTTTAAAAAGTTTAAACAGATAGAATGAAGGATGTCAGGCTACAATAAGTAGACCCCAGAGACTATGAAACAAAATCAGTAGGAAAAAAGCATAGATTTAGAACCAAACTTTCTAAGACCAAATTCTAGCTCCATCATTCCATAATCCCAGAAAAGTTTTTTCTGAGCCTTAATTCTCTCACCTGGAAGATGTGGTTAAAAATAGCACCTACATTATAGTGTTGTTATATAATTAACACTTAATTTAGTATTAGTTAAATAATTTAGTATTTGTAAAGCTTTTAAAACAGTGCCTGGCAGGTAGAAGGTTCTATATAATTAATAGCTAATATTGTTTTTAGAGTTATTAGATTCAATTCAGTATAACATATTTGAAGAAAGGTGAACCACAGTATATTTCAAAAAGTTAATTTTTTTTTTTAAGGTCACTGATCCTACAGAGCCTTTTTATTTTTTTTTGAGACAGTCTCACTACGTCACCCTCAGTAGAGTCCTGTGGCGTCACAGCTCACAGCAACTTTAAACTCCTGGGCTTAAGCAATTCTCTTGCCTCGGCCTCCCAAGTAGCTGGGACTACAGGCACCCACCACAATACCCGGCTATTTTTTGGTGGTAGTTATCATTGTTATTTGGCAGGCCCAAGCTGGGTTCAAACCCGCCAGCTCTGGTATATGTGGCTGGTGCCCTAGCCAGTGAGCAACAGGCACTGAGCCACCTACAGAGTTTTTCCCCAAGAAAAAAATTATACTATTATTTTCCAGTGGTTTGTGGATTTCTAAAAGTCAGCTCTGACCCTAAGGACTTTGGACATTACAGATTAAAAATTCCTAAACTAGAGAAAGGTAAACAAGATGGTAAGGAAAAAACGTGGTCTAGAAATTATGATGAAGAGAACAGGTAAAGATATGTGAAAATATATGGCTTTGAAATAATTAAAACATAACAGTTGACCTCAAATTTAAAGGATGGGCTCAGTGAGGAAGGAGTACTTAGGTTTTATTGCTCTACATTATTAAATAAAGTATAGTTGATAAGGAGACAGACTGGTACTCAGAATAAGGAAGAACAGAATCTGAATATCCATAAGCCAAGGATATCAAGTTCAATACTATAACAAAGAGGTTGGATTAGGTCAACTCTAATGATCTCACCAACATCACAGAATTCATTCGGGTTATCACCAATAGAAAAAAACTACTGATATGCATTAGTGACAGAGAAATGAACAAAACGAACAAAAATCCCTGCCTTCATGATTCTCAGTTTGGTTGGCAGAGATAATGAAGTCACTCATTTGAGAAAACACATTTTGGAAAGTAGTTTATTTTTTTACCAGTCTATTTTCAAAAAATAGATATTATCTGCTACGGAATATGCTATAGTTATACCTTTTAAAACATTAGTTTTCAAGGAAATAAAACATAGCTGTTTCTAAAACACCATGTACTAAGCAATTTAGAATAGTTTTTTTTTGTTTTGTTTGCCTTTTAAACGTACTGTTCCAAGTCATGATGAATACTAATTTAAAGGTGTGAGGAAACTAGAACCTGGTGGTCTCAAACTAATATGAGGCAGTTTACTGACAGATCTGAAATTTCCCAATCAAATTTTCAAAGGAAAATTTCCCAATTTTTCTTACCTGATCACCATAATCTCAAGTGTACTATGAATCAAACACTACTTTTTCTCGCAGGGTGTAGAAATTAGCTACACAAAAAAGGATAACTAAGAAATTTTTAAAAAGACTTAAAAAGACTGCTATATTCAATTTGATGAATACCCATACTCTAAGGTAACCTAAAATTTTTCTACTATGATACACTAAGTTTCAAGAATGATAGCTATTTACTCAACATTTTTGATATTTACAAGTAATTATTATCATACATTTTAAAATGTTTTAGGAAGACTATCTTGTACTTACATATTTATTTATAGGCATGTTTTTATATCCTGTAACTCATGAAAAACACAAACAAAGCAAAAAAGCAAAACAGCCTTCCAAAGTGTATGGTCAAAGGTAAAAGTGATGGCTATTCAACTGGACAGTAGAGCAAATCTACGCTCTGTAACAGTGGTTCTCAACCTTCCTAATGCCGCGAGCCTTTCGTACTGTTCACCCACAGTTTGAGAACCACTGCTCTATAAAAATAGCACGAATCTAATTTTTCAGAATTGCTCATTTCACTTTAGGTGTCCCAATTACATGAAGCAGATATGAAAAGGCAAATAAAATGGAGAAATTGTTTAATACACATAGTATTTTAAAAAAACTTTATGACATGATGGTTTACCAAATAATTAAAATGAGTTTGAGAGATTTTTTCTTTTATGTTAACAGAAATACCTTAAAAAACTTCACATTTTTACTTATTTAGGACTGAACTTGTTCTATGAAGATCTATCTAATTGCTAAGTTTGAAAAAACCTGAAGTCTCTTAAATTTTGAACCATTTTCCAGGAAAATACACACTTTTACGTTTATACACGTAGAAAATAAAAGACTACTAAACGCCTCAGTTAACATTCTGAAGTGTCAAACAGAACTAGTTTTAAGAAAACTGAAAGGCATGCTGTTTAAATTAGACATCTCATAGGTAATCTTGGCTGTTGTCTGATCAGGTTCGTAAATAACATCATATAATTACCTGCATTTATTTCCTCTGCAATTTCCAAGTCTTCTATTTGAATCATATGATCTAGCATCTCTATAAAATGATCTCTGATTTCTTCAGCTGACTCATCACCAAATTTATAATCAGATAACATTACAGTGGATCCAGGAATGGGGACAAAAACTCGATGAGGGAGGATGTGGAACTCTTTTTCAGAATCTAAAAGAAGGAATATCATCAATATTTAGATAGGTCTGTCACTGAAATAATATATTTTAAAAGTATATAGAAATATTTGCATAATAGGAATACAGTTTACAATGTGTCAATGTTTTTCATTTTCTAATTGATCTGGCACAAAACTGTTCATAGTAAATTCTGCTTTGCATGAGATCTGTAATACTACTCACATAAAATTTATAAAGTTATCATTGCCTCAATGTAAAGATGTTGTTGATTATATTAATATATTCGTATATGACTCACTTGTCTATGACAAGTAAGAACTTTATCCTTGGTCTCAGAAACTGCTGTCCTACTAGTTTGTTTTGATCTTAAAAGCACTGTATATTTTATAGTCAATTTTTCCCTTCTTCAAATAACTGGCCAACTTAAACTAAGCGTACTGGATGTGACAGCATACATTTTTATACTGATCTCACTACTGACTTCATCATTCTAGATGTAGCTACTCCCTCTATCAAGCACGTTTAGGGCATCAAGACATATTTTATGTACCAATCTCACCGCCAATCCCACCTTGCTTTCTTATCTTCCTTTTGCATCCTTAATGATACTAACTTTTTTCTTATTTATTTATAATGCCTCTTTGTCAACAGCCTTAAATCATTTTTAAAAAAAGAATCTGATACTAAATAAATAATGAATAATTATGTTTCATTTTTCTTTGAATACTTACAAACCAAATCATATTATTTCCCCAATGTCTGACTATAAGAGTCACTGGTCCATATACATTTTTTATATAAAATTACATAAAAATGTAATTAGTTCAACACTATGATTTTAATGACTATCACAATGACAGAGACTGCATAAAGAAAGACCTCAACATATATATTAAAAGCTACTAAAAGAAAGATCAAGTAGAAAACTAAGGCCCATGTTGATTGTAAGCTACACTTCCTTATCAAGAAACTAGCATAACTTAAATAATTATGAGCAGAAGATGATGAACTAGGCCTTAAGTGTCACTGGGAATGTTATTACCTAAACTGTGCTCCTTCCAGATCCTGTACATTATCTTGTATATGTTAACTGGTAAAATAATTTTACTCTTTGACCAGACTGCCTCCTAGCTGTAGAATTACATTACTGCAATTTGTACTGTGGCACCTAAATTGTCCAGGCATTGCAATTAGGAACATATTATTGTACATTAGACCATGGTCACTTGGAATATATTAAGTACAAGCTCAAAGTTGACTATAATGTATATATTTAAGTGACATGCAAAATATTAAAATTATTTCAAACTACATAAATTCTAAGTTTATCTGAAAAAAGAATAACATGCTATACAATCAAATGTTAAAGAACTGGTTGCAGCTGAGAGTGGTAGCTCATGCCTATAATCCCAGGGTTTGGGAAGCTGAAGTAGAAGAATCACTTGGGGCCAGGACTTTGAAACCAGCCTGGGCAACATGGTCAGGCCCCACATTACAAAATAATAATAATGATTGGTTTTAATCAATGTAAATTAATCATCAAAAAAAGAAAAAGGACTTATAAATTTCAAACTGGAAATTTAATATCAAAACCAAGTTTTCTAGTTAGTCTGAGTTTAAAACTGAGAGGAAAACCTTTTTTGAAAAGACATATCTCAAAAAGAATTCCTAAGAAGAATCCTTTAAGCTATTCCCATAGCAAAGCATCTAGGTTCAACATTATTTGAGCAAGTTCAGAGGAAAAAAAATTAAATTTAAGCCAATATAATAAGAATTAGGGTTCTGTCCACTAAAAATAGAATCCCTAGCTGGTATCACAGTATTATAGAAACTTTTTTAGAACAGGTGATACCAGAGCTCAATGTTAAAGGACAACCAGACATCTGCATAAAGGGATGAGAAGTGTCATCCAGAGAGTGGAATCATGGGCACAGACAAAGAGGATTACAAATGCTCTTAGAAGATAAGTGGTACGGATGGATACTGATGTAGGAGTGGAAGAAGGTAAGAGATTTCACAATTGATGACCTAAATTTTCTCAATGAGTATGATATCTATTGAAAGTTGGACAGGATTGAATGAAGGCTTATAGCAAATTATGAAGAAGGCTTGGAATATGTCTTAAAGAGAATCAAAGAAGAAAAAGCTCCCAATGAGTAAAAAGATTAATTGTTGTTCTTATTTTTCTTACTGTCATTGATATACTAAGTTCTTTCATATGGATAGAAAGAATTCTAAGACTATGTTTACTTTAATGATTGGGAATGTAAAGTTAATACATCCTTTGCCACTTTCTGATGCATGCAAAAACATTCTAATTCAGGTTAATTTCATGGCATACATTCTACATTTTAGCATATTATAAAATCTACGAAATCATGGCAGTGTACAAGAAAAATAAGCTAAGTAAAATGAGGACAAATCTAAAATCTAACAATTTGGTATATATACAGTAGAACCTCCATAGTTGACCTCCTTCCTATATTAACTAGATCAAGTTGACCCAATTTTCGTAAACCGGACATGCACATGTCATTATAGGAGGCCTAGTTCCTTATGTTAACCCCTCCATATGTTTCTTCAGTCCCTTGGGTGGTCAAAATACAGAGGTTCAATTGTATATTCAACTTTAGAAATTTACATTTATTTGTATTATAACACTTACAGTTTATTCTTTTATCTTGATACCTTAAGATAAACTAACATGTTGAGGGAGTAAACTAGTAAACATTTAGTAATGTTACTAAAGTTTAAAATATATATATATGTCATTAATTTATGTACATTAAATTTTTTTATGTCCTACATGTATGTGTGTATATATATATATGTATATACATATATATGTATGTGTACATATATATGTGTGTGTGGATATATATATCCACATCTTGGATTAATTTACAATGCTAAATTTCAAAGCTAAAAACTTTTAAAGACAACTAACTAATTCTTCTTTATAATTTCTATCTTAGTAGCTTATCAGTTACCGAGTGCTTGACTTATACCAAGATTACCTAATTTAATATCAGACTCAACAAAATAGCTATTATAATTCCTGCTTTATATGTAAGCACATAGATGCTTACAAAGGCTGAATCACTTCTCCAAGGGGACTCTGCTAGTGTAGAACAGACACAGAAGCCAAGACCTCCAGTCTGTACTCTTTCCACCACTCTGTTCTCTTCACACAGGTCCCAAGGCCACTTAATTACCAGTGAAAACTTTTGACTTGTTAAAAAACTAATAATTAGATAACATTAACTTCTAAATATGTCAAATTTAATGTATGAATAGTGTAAATGCTATTAGAAGCCATTACTTTTACTAACTGGACATTAGAAATTTCAGACTACTAACAATATAAAATGAGGCCAGAACGGTCAAATAAAATCATTTTTTAAAAGTATTCGTAAATGGAAAGAGTATGCTGTGTGTGATAAGGCAGAGCTTTAACATTAATGGTAGACAGGCCCCCATTCCCCTGAGAATCCTAAAATTCACAATTCCACTGTAACATACACTGTACTCAGGAAGTGAACTAATGATTTACACCGTAAGAGTTACCACATACTTAAAAAATCAAACAGAAAAATAAAGTCATACCAAGATGAGGTCACTAGGCTGACTAACTATGTAAACAGGTCCCACATATATCCCCTGTAAAAATCTCAATCCAATTGCTGCATGTAAGATTGAAATTCATGTCTTAGCAAAATTACACTTTATTATTAAATGGAACTTGAGGGTAATTTGCGAATTATGGGAAGAACAAATGTTAAATTAATAATCCCAAGAATATGGCATATGAAGAATATAAAAAAAGATTATGATTAGTTCATTAAACCTAATATACTGGCTATCAGTAGCAATAAAAGAAGTTAGTTGTATAGAGGAGCTATGCCTTCTTCCTATAGCCCAAAAATACTCCCTGAGTAAACTAAGATGTATGTTTCAATTATGTACATATCCAGTCATATCTGAATAGTAAAATGGCGAAATGAGGGCATAGCTTCAAAAAGCATACTCAATATTTTACTTTTCTTTTTGGGTAAAAATGTTATTTTTAATGACCAAATTATTCAGATGGTATTAACATATGCAAAAGATAGGAGAGTTATCAAAGAGTAAGACACCGTAACTTAGCCGTTTTTAAACCCAAAAATGTCTGCTAGAGTAACAGCTGAAGAAATATATAAACTAATGTAGTTAATATAAACAGCATTCATTAAAGAATCCATTATATAGTACTTGACACTAATGAGTAACATTTTAATTATAGATAAACTCTTGGAAAAAACTCATAGATATTAATAAAAATTATTAGCTTTAAAATGGCAACACAGTCTACCCATTCTGGCCGGGGAAGGTTCATTCAGAATTAATTTTAAAAAATCCTCCAGCCAAGTGTGATTGCTCACGCCTTATAATCCTAGCATTTTGGGAGCCTGAGGTGGGAGGATCACTTAAGCCCAGAATTTGAAACCAGCCTGAGCACCACAGAGAGACCTCATTTCTACAAAAAAAATAAAAAGATTAGCTGGGCACAGTGGCACATGACTGTACTCCCAGGTACTTAGGAGTCTCAGGCATAAGTATTCCTTGAGCCCAGGAGTTTGAGGTCACAGTGAACTATGATGACTCAACTGCACTCTAGCCTGGGTGACAGAATCAGATCTTGTCTCAAAAAAGAAAAAAAAAAATCCTTCCTGAAATTGTTATAAGTTGACAGATTTGCCATTATAGTGTTCAAAAAAATTATTCTGTGTAGCAAATGAAAAATTTTCACTCAATAATAAATGTAAAAGATGACACTTAAAAGATAGGTAGGCAGCCATAAAAGACAACATATTTTGATGTCCTACTATTATATAATTGAATACATGGAAAAATAGCACTTATTTTATACTCATAACTTTTTTTTCTGGAATTTCATTCAAAAGCAGATCCTCAAATAGTATTTCACAACGATCAGCAACTGTGTTTAATATATCCCTCTTCATTGCCTACGGGGGAAAAACATCAAAAATAAACAAGAAATAAATATATTTTAGATTTACCCTAGTTATAAAAAACCTACATAATTTGCTTTCTAGTATAATCATGTCCACTAAATAACTGATACATCATTCCATTTTTTTAACTTCCCTTTATTTGACATGTTTATTGACACATTTATAGTTAAAAGGCAAATCTGCCTAGACCTTACCTAAATAATAAATTAAAATCAAAAAATATTTCACCTAAACAAACAATGCCAGTGTTACAAACTAGGAAATGTGCAACTATGATATAAATGCCTGGCATTAGTTTTAAAATTTCTTTTTAAATTAAATAAGGAGTTATTTATAATAATATTATAATGTAATTTCTATAATATTTTTACTGTTATCTGAAAAATTAAATTTCCCTCAGAAGAAATGATTCCAAAAGTACTACTATGATATAACTGTGGAGCACTTATTTAACCTGTGATTATTATTTTTTACTGATCAGCACGGGAGTTTTGACCTGCTCCGTTTCCGATTATTATTTTTTAAAAAGGTATATAAAAAGACATTCTATATATGAAAATATCAGAACTAATTATATGATAAATTTGGAATAGCCAAAAGACTGGGCCTCATGAATTAAAATTAATAATTATAAAATCTGAGACTAAAAAATGATAAATTTTAGGTTTTTAAACAGTTATATTAACACGTTTTCATTTTTAATATACCCGTTACTCCTTCTTGTACCTGCACAGCATCTTTAACCTTGGGCTTGTTGCTGTGAATATAAGCTCTGCATTTCACAGCTCCCTTAAGGTTCACAGAACCACTGCATATCTGGACTGTGGCTGTGGATCTGTGGTCTGAATTCAGGAGCTGAAAGACAAAATCTGGTTAAGTTCCAGGACCCATAATTATTAACTCCAAGAAATACTGAAACACTATATAAACCACTTTATGGAGAGAGAGGAATCTTTGAGTCAAGCGTTTGAAAGTATTCTGCATAAGTTATTTGTAGGGCTTCGTATTTCTCTTCAAAAGTTCTATATGATTTTCTGAGCATTCTGAAGGCATACTGAAATTAAAACAAAACTACATCTAATTTTTTTCTAACATAACCATCTAAAAAATCAATATTCATTTAATATATTCACTAAAAATGCATTCAGATTACTCAGATAAGTACTGTGAAGATGAAAAGATGCACAAAGCAGGCATTATGTACACTGTAGTAGGAGATGTAAGACGTACAAAAAAGATATACACAAAAGTACAAAGTGGGATGTGGTAAAGATGGTAAAATCACAGTCACTTCGCAGACATGCAGTTACTTATATACTTTCAGCTCATAACTATCATAGAATGAAAGCCGTGCTGTGCTTCAGGGCAAAAACAAACATATCAGTGATGCTGGACAGGAGAAGATGATGTTAGTGGTGGGGAGCAGTCGCTTTGCCTTGCAGTGCCATCTTCTTTAGTCTCAGGAGTGTTAGTTAGCTCCTGCTTGGTTTTCAGGTGCTTTACAGACATTTTTCACCTCATCTCCTTAGTAAAAGCCAAAATAAAGAGAACACTGAAACACTGAAAGTGTTATAAATAAATAGAGGATCCCTAAGGCAAAAATCTGAAACGCTCTAAAGTCTGAGCACATTCAGTATCGACATGATGCTCAAGGGAAATGCTCACTGGAGCATATTAGATTTTGGATTTTCAGATGAGAAATGCTCAAGTGGTAAATATTCTCAAATCTTACAAAATCAAAAAAAGCCTGAAACCAAAAGCGCTTCTGGCCCAAACACTGCAAATCAGGTAGACTAAAACTGTACTAAAGGCCTGTAATCTCAATGGAAACAAAAATTGTGATTAAAAAAATTCTTTTCATGGATATAGTTAGAAAGTAATTTAAGTTCTACTATGAACACTTGGAATAAATCATTCAACAATAGGATTACTTCTGAAGAACAAAAATCAAATCACTTTACATTGCATTTTACAGTTTGTGAAAAGTGCTATGCATCTATGTGTCTATGTAATCAGGTATTATATAAAGGAAAATGGTGAAGAAAAGAAACAGAACTTGTATTATATCGCTACTGAAAAAGCATGATCAGTCAATACTAAGGTAATTCAGGCAATGCCTAATATAGTTAGGCAAAACTTTAAAATTCTAAGTGTTTAAAAAGAATTTAAACTTAAACATGGTCAAGGTCTTGTTGATAAAAGCATTGTCACAGACCAAATAGTTTCAAAGATCCTGTATCCATTCAAAATTGGCCATCATCAGATCAAGCAGCAGCATGGCAATGCTGACACTGTACCAGGAATGACCTTCCTCGGACACTTGTAGATTTCACCGATACATCAAGAAGGTTGGAAGTGGAGAAGGAGTAATAAGCTTCCCTCATCCACTCCATCAACTTAGATAAAACCACTCTATTTTAAAAAATAATGCCCCATTCTGCTTATTTCATAAATAACTTACATTTTTCTTAACATATGCTCATTCATAACATACACATACATATATTACATATGTATAAACTAAGGTAATGTTGCTCAAAATAGACTAAACTATTAAAGATGGGAGGTGCCACATCAAAGACATGCAGTTTCTTAGATACTTTCAACTCATAACTTCCATAGAATGAAAGTAATGCTGTGCTTCAGAGCAAAAACAAACGTATCAATGATGCTGGACATGAGAAAATCACGTTAGTGGTTGTGAGCAGCTGCTTTATCTTGCGGTTCCATCCTCCGTAGTCTCAGGACACACACACAGACACAGGAGAAGAGTTTTTAAGGATATAGGGACTGATTCATTCTTTTATGGTAGAAATGTAGCTGAGTTCTAAAAACACAAACTTCACTTGGTTAACTAGACTTGAGAATGAATTCGGTTATAAATAGTTTTCAGAATCTAACTGCTTCATAAGTAAAGGAACTTCAGTGATAATGATATGGCATTTGGGAAGTGCAAAGATCCATCTGGTTATGATGACCAAATGAAACTTTAGATAAATAGTGGCATTTGGGTTAAATCTTAATGCAGAAATAGGATTTTGACAGTTGGGTTCAGGGAAAAGACAGTACCAGCAAGACAAGTTCAGGAAATTCACAGAATTTTAAAGGCATAGCAAGCATACATGTAGAACTATGTAGGAATAAAATATAAGAACAAAAAGGTATGCTGAGACTATGAAGAACCTCCAATTAGATTTTCTACCTAACTGATTCAGAGCAATTACGACACATTGAGCAAGGAGAGTGACATAATCAGTGTGTGATTATGTGTGTGTGTCTTGTACACATTCAATAAATAATTTATTTAAAAAAATTATAAATGAATGATTGCAGGCTGTAATTCAGAAAGGATAATTTGTACATAAAATAGAGGAGAAAAATGGAAGATATTCCAACAGATACACAAAGGTATAAGGGTTTTCAGAGAAACAATCACTTTGGGTAAGAAGCAGAGAGACCAGTTAAGAGTTACCAGTGCCAATCTAGGTAAAACAGTACTATTGTAAGGCTAATGGCAGTGGGACTGTAAGAAAATGAGAGATAAGCTTAACACTACAGTGAAACTGGAGTGGAAGAGAAGTGGCAACAAGCACTTGGTGACTATGTACACACTGGTCATGTCAAAATTTCTAGTTGGGCTGACAAGTGAAATGACTGACAAATACATATTACACTATATGAAATTACATAACTATCACAACAAATGATCTTGTATGATACTATCTTCCACTCTTCTACCTATATTCCCGCACTCTATACATTTCCCAACTGCAATTTTATAACATAACTTTAACCAAACTGTTTAATGAACTAAGATGTAAGCCTAACTAGCAAAGGTGGAGAAACAGTCAGCCTTAAAACAAAGGAAATTTCTAAAATCAAAACAAAGGTAGAAAGTAAGAGACTAAAACACTTCCAAAGTATAAAAAAAAAATTGAGAATTCATGTTGAGTGGTGTTAAGTACAATAACAACTTAGCAATGTTCTATCACTAAACACAGAGAAGGAGAAGAAATTAAAACATCCTCAAATGTCAAATTGTCTTTAATTCTATTTTATTTGGTTAAGAAAATCCAAGTCCTCATAGTATTTCCTTTTCAAAGCCCATTCCTTTTCAAAGCCCATGTTAACTTTAAACGTTTTATGGATATGCTTTTTATATCCTTGACTGTTCATTAGGATAATTTTGAGCAGGTTTACAATCAAAGGCATGTATACTTTTACACATAATTTTTTTATTCTTTAAGATATCTAACTTTAAATTTTCAAAGCAATGTGTAATTTAAAACAACCAAACAGAAATATAAAAGTTACTATTAATACTTTGTAATTTTTCTCAAAGCAGACAAGGTACATATCTATTTCAAATTAAATATATGACAATTCTTTGAATGTCTTGTACATACATCATTTACTTCTAAGTTGTTAAGAATTTACAAGTTTACTCATAAAACCTACAACCAAAATTAATTATAAGTTAATTATAACTTCTAAGTTGTTAAGAATTTATAACTTTACTCATAAAACCTACAACCAAAATTAATGATATATGTGAGTATACACATACGTATGTATATGTATACTTAAATTGCTATCTACTTGACGTCAAACGTTTAATAGCCCTTAAGGCAAAAGATACATAGGCTCTATTAAATTCATGTTTCTTGTGAATAACTTTCTTACAACTAGACATTCTATACAGTCTACTTCATCTGTAAAAGTCTTTTGTATTCTTTAATTATAAGCAATAAAAACAAAAACAATTTCATTATAGTTATTCTAAGATAAAGAATTTAAAATAAAGTGGCATTTTAAAATACTTACCAAATTTCTTAACACTCTGACATCAAAACAATGACCAGTAGCTTGAGTATTTCCTCTAGACGATTTTTTCTGGAAAAAACACCGAAGTCAAAAAGCCAGACAGTTGAGATTATAAGCAGAATATTAAAGACAATTCAGAAACTATCCTCTATCTACTAAATACATGAGAGAAAAAATAAGTCTTATTACATATTTTAATTTAGGTTTTTATATAATATTACTTCATGTATTTTGCATTGATCAACGTGTATTCTTAGAAGCCATTAATTCCCTTCTTTCAATCCTCTAAGGCAAGGATTGCAAACTGTTGCCTCTGGGCCAAATATCCATTGTCACCTGTCTCTGTAAATGAAGCTTTACACAAGCATGACCGCTCGTTTACATACCATCAGTGGCTGCTTTCGTGCTGTATTAGCAGAGATAAACAGTTGTAACAAAGACAGTAAGGCCTGCCAAGTCTGAAATATTTACTAGTTGGCTATTTACAAAATACTTGCTGACCCCTGCTCTACAAAGATCACCAAAGTTCCTCTTCTTTACATTAAAGCTATTTTGGAAACCCTTATAGACACTTCTAAGAAAATGGGCATAGCCTTTAAACAGCTGTCAGGGCCAGACATGTGGCCTTTAGTGACAGTAACCAGTCTACAGTTTGAAGGTTAGGGAAAATTCAGATGACTCTTTACTCCAGGTTTTGGGATTCTAATCATATCAGCAATGATCTCCTCCCATCATATGAGAAAAATATGTACCCTTTACTTTAAATAATCTTAGAAATGAGTAGATGAAACACGTTTTCATGAAGGCAAGGACTAAAGATAAGTCATCTTTATTTTTTCCTTAAGCACAAATAATTTCATAAGATAGTTTTCTCTGAACTCACCTGTCCTTCTAATAGGTCACAATCTTCTTCTTTAACTTGTCCATTAATCAAATAAACACTGTTTTCTATTTGCTTGGCCCAGCGTGTAAGTCCATTCTAAACACAACGTAGAAGTTTTTCAGATATAATGCCATCCCAATCAAACTCCCTCATCTCTAATTTTTTCTACCTAATACACTAAAATATTAAAATCTGTAAGTCACAATAATGCAATATTTAAAAGTCTCATAAAAAGTGTGCCCCCAATTTTTAGTACCTTATCAATATTTTGTAACATTTTTTTTCAGATCACTGTCCAAAACTAACATCACAAACTCAGAAGGCTCATTAACTACTTGCCCACAGTCAAATAAAATTCAATATTGCTCATTATCTTTAAAAAAAAAAAGTGATGAAAAGAGCCTCAAATGAACAATATAAAGCAGTCTTAAAGAGGAAATAATACCCAAGCTCCATCTTTCTTCATCTTTTTATTTTTTGTATTTTTGGTTTGTTTGGGATAGGATTTCGCTCTGTTGCCTGGGCTATACTGCATGGCACCATCAACCTCAAAGCCCTCAAGGAATCCTCCTGCCTCAGACTCCTGAGTAGCTGGGATCACCATAAGTGACTAATTTTTCTATCTTTTGTAGACAGGTTCTCACTATGGTGCATAGGCTTGTCTCAAACTCCTGGGCTCAAGAAATCTCCTACCTTCGGCTACCAAAGTGCTAGGATTACAGGTGTAACCCACTGTGTCTGGTCTCTATTTTTCTTCTTCATTATGAAAAAAATGAAGAAAAATGAGACATAAATGAAAGAATGAGACAGAAATACAAAAAGGGGCTAGACATGGTGGCTCATGGCTATACTACTAGCTGTTTGGGAGGCTAAGGTGGGAAGATCACTTGAGGTCAAGATTTCTAGACCAGCCAGGGTAACTTAGGTAGACCCTGTTCACAAGAACTAAAAAAATTAGTTGGGTGTGGTGGTATTCACCTAAAGGGTCATCTACGTGGGAGGCTAAAATAGGAGGACTGCTTGAGCCCAGGAATTTGAGGTTATAGAGATCTATCATCAGGCCACTACACTTCAGCCTGAGCAATAAAGCAAGACTCTGTGTGTGTGTGTGGGGGGGGAGGCGTTGTGGGGGGGTTGGAGAGGGAAGAAATACAGAAAAGGACTAGAAAAGGGAAAACAAAACAACTAAGAACAAAGAGAAATCTAGAAGTCTAAACATAATTACAACTTAAAAGGCCCAGGAACAATGGCTCAGAAGTTCAAGACCATCTTGAGAAAAATCAAGACTCTGTCTCTACAAAAAATAGAAAAATTAGCCAGGTTGGTGGCACAAGCTTATAGTCCTAGCAATTTGGGAGGCTGAAGCAGGAGAATCACGTGAACCTGGGAATTTGAGATTGCAGTGAGCTATGATGATGCCACTGCACTAAGTAGCCCAGGCAATGGAATGAGACAATGTCTCAAAAATAAAAGAAAAAGTTACATTTTACATATGTTAATAAATATTTAGTATGCACTATAATATGAATATACTGGTATTATGATACGGTTCCACCTCTAAAGATATTTCTAATCTGGCTGGGGTAATATGTAACTCACTCATATAATATTATAAGTAGAATATAACTTTTGAGGATTATAAATGACATGAAGATTTTTTTAATTAAAAAATAATTAATGTAGGGAAAAAATGAATGACACAGGAAATCAGAATGAAATTAGATTGTTCATTTAGCATCATGAAAGAAAACTCATTTTGCCCTGATACCTTTGTGTTTTTCTCCAAAGTATAGCTGACAGAAGTAGTAGAAAGTGGGATGTGAATATTAATGTGAATTGTACACTCTAAAGAAAGCCATGAAGTTGACAATCCACTTTGATACTTCCAATCTGCTGGTCTTGCTGAACTCTAGCAGTGGAGAAGGGAAAAAAATAAAGTATGATGTGATTTAGGTAAAACACAAGGATCAGTAAAACACCATAAAGTGTATAACCGAATAATGCAAACAAGCTGATACCCAACATATTTGATATCCCTCCTGATCAAAGGGCTATAGCTTAGGAGTTAATAAAAAAAATAAAGCATGTATTAAGTTTAGTAATCTTCAATACACCTAGGCAACCTTCCTCCTCCTTCCAGTGGTAGGTAGAAAAAGGAAAAGAAGGGGGTCCATGATTAGAATTCTGAAAAGTCCTTTGGTCTTCTTTCATTGATAGCTTCAATAGTTATCACATCTAAAGAATGTGATGTGGAACAAATAATCACTGCAGAGTGGCGAGTAGGTGCCAGGCATTTTTCTTTATGTCCCATCCTTGCTAACAATACTGCAAAGCTACTTCCTCACTTTGCTTTAAACACTTTAGTAAAATGCTAGTCTGGATTCTTCTGAGTATAAGTAGTTCATTTACTAGGCACTACGGCTACCAAAACTAGAGTGCAGTGATTTTTACCCTCAGCTTCTAAGCATAACACTAAACACACAAACAAGGTAAGAGGAGCTTAACAGAGATATTTCAATAATTACCAAAAATGTTTTCCTTGCCTATAATAAAATTGCTCATATTTCAGAATAAAAATTATAGTTGGCTGTGGACATCAGTAGGAAGTGACGGCAATAAAAATAATGAAAACCAAATATAAAGTTGAATCATAGTTTAAAAACAATTGGCAACACAAAAATCTTTAAAAGAGTAATTTTTCTTACCTTTGGATCATGGACATCATAAGTTCGACAAAATATTCTTTACTGATTAAGGATAGAAATGACCAAAAAAGAAGAATTCTTGAAAATCGAAAAAATATGAACCACTAAAAAATTATAATTAAAAAATGTATGCATACACGAGTTTTTATAAAAGCCATATTTTATAGACTTAGACTTAAATATAGGTTTGTGTATGTATCCATACACATACAAAGCTGACCATAGTACTTTTAATTTTTGAAAACTATAAATAAATCCTGCTCATCACAATGAATAGAATGAAAGCCCCTGTGAAATTTATCTCAAATACACCTCCACCATCATAACATGAACACTGTTTAAGATGGGCCAAGTCTCAGAATGTCCACTGATGACAAGGCTTGTAAATGAAACTGTCTAGTTAAATACCAAAGAAGTTAACGCTGAGCTTCTGCAGAAATGGTCCCTTTTTCTTGAGACAGAGCCTCAAGCCGTCACCTGGGTAGAGTGCCGTGCCATCAGAGCTCACAGCAACCTCCAACTCCTGGGCTCAAGCAACTCTCCTGCTTCTGCCTCTCAAGTAGCTGGGACTACAGGCGCCCACCACAATGCCCCAGCTATTTTTTGGTTGCAGCTGTCATTGTTGTTTGGTGGGCCCAGGCTGGATTCGAACCTGCCAGCTCAGGTGTATGTGGCTGGTACCTTAGCTGCTTGAGCCACAAGTGCTGAGCCGAAATAGTCATTTTTTATATTCTGTCTTCTGGAAGCCTATTGCATCACTCCTTTGGTGAGCCTGCCCCTTGCTTGGAGGCCCCTTACCCTGGCAAGGTGCAGAGGAGAGAAGCAAAGGAGGTCTTGCTACTGACTTTTAGTGCCATACAATCTTGGCCAAAGACATAAGAATTTCATGAGCATCCTACACTGTCCAGTTCAGCACATCTATGCTCTGAATCGCACATTTTCTCTATAGGAATCAGAGGTGAAAACTTTCAACATAATAAAAATATTAATTTGCCTAAATTTTCAGCCAGGCATTTATCTTTCTCTAGAGCAGTGGTACTCAACCTTCCTAATGCTGCAACCTTTTAATACAGTTCCTCATGAAAATAATTTTATGGTTGGGGGTCACCACAACATGAGGAACTGTATTAAAGGGTCGCAGCATTAGGAAGGTTGAGAACGACTGCTCTAGAGGATCTATTGTGCTTGGATACACAGAGTGGATAACTAGCAAAAAAAAAATTCAGAATCCTGAGTTCTTGCTATCACTCTCAAACTCTATATAATCCTGGAGCATGATTTAACCATTATTGCTATTATCACTGGCAGCTCTAATCATGTGTTTTACAGAAAACCATATGAAATTATGCCTATTTTCAAAACAATGATGATTAAAATAAGGGGTGAAAAAACACTTGTAAGAACATTATTTAAGAACCATATACTTTTAAACATAAACACCCAAATAAAAGATACTTTTTTGTAGACGAGCAAATGTGAAGCATCACTCGTTCTGAAACCTCTTCCTCTGTGAAATTCCACAGTCTCCTTCTACTCACGGACTTTTCCACAGCAAATATTAGCTGAAAGAAAAACACACATCAATGAAATACAAAATGAAAAAACAAAACAAAACATGGAAAAAGGCAATTATAATGTCCCTAAACTCCCCTGGAGCTTTAAAATTCCATGATTCTATCATTTTTCTTGTTAGTTTGGTTTGTTTTTGCTTTTCTGAGACAAGTCTTACTATGTTACCCACGCTGGTTTTGAGCTCCTAGGCTCAAGTGATCCTGTTCCCTCAGCTTCTTGTGTGGCTGAGACTACCTACATGCACATACCATAAAGCCTGGCTATATATATGTATTTTTTAATTTCTTAGAAGCAGAATTTTGTTATGTTGCCCAGGCTGTAGGACAGTGGCTATTCACAGGTCAATTACAGCTTGCTGAACAGGCCCTGAAACCTCTGGGTTCAAGTTATCCTCTTGCCTCAGCCTCCAGAGTAGATAGGACTACAGGTGCCCACCACAAGTTTTTCTTTTCTTCCAAATAAAAACTGAAACTCACCATTAACCACGTTAGATTCCAGTTTTAGGGACTTATAAAAAACTAGGTTTTAGATAGAAAAGGTGTAATTCAATGTTAATGATTAACTGATATGAAAAATTAATTTGAGGCAACTAGCATTTACATGAAAAATAGAGGAGGTTATTTTAATTAGAATAATAAATAATTTTAACTACAAAAATGGAATGTGTTACCCATTTAGTATTTCCTATTTAAATGTCACAAATGACTTAAAACAACATAAAATATGGTAATGACATAATTTAAAGTGAAAAAAATCACAATAGTGACATAAATTTATGTCAAAAATAAGAATTTTTAAAAATGCATTCTTAATCTAAGGCAGGGGTCCTCAAACTTTTTAAACAGGAGGCCAGTTCACTGGCAGGACTGTGGGCCCCGGGACGAGTCAGCTGCTAAGCAGGACAGGCAGCTGTGGCAAAAACACCCAGCGGGCAGGATAAATGTCCTAGGCAAGCCACATGTGGCCCAAGGGCCACAGTTTGAGGACACTTATCAAAGGGATGTTATGCATTTGGCTCTAAGTTTTCTTTTTTTCTTTTTTTTTTTTTTTTTGAGATGGAGCCTCAAGCTATCCCCCTGGGTAGAGTGCCATGGCATCACGCTCACAGCAACTTCCAACTCCTGGGCTCAAGCGAGTCTCCTGCCTCAGCCTCCCAAGTAGCTGGGACTACAGGCGCCCGCCACAGCACCTGGCTATTTTTTGGTTGCAGCCATCATTGTTGTTTGGCGGGCCCAGGCTGGGGATTCAAACCTGCCACCTTAGGTGTATGTGACTGGCGTCTTAGCCGCTTGAGCCACAGGCGCCGAGCCGGCTCTAAGTTTTCTAACAATAATGTACAAAGAGAAATCTGATCTGTTACCTACATGATCCATAAGCTAAAAACAAGTAATTGATAAAAAGAGGCATAGCTTTCTTGAGCATAAAAAGAAATTTCTTCTGGACACACAATATTATGTGCATAATAAACAACATTCTAAACAATAAAACTTACAGGTGACTTTGGCAAGTTTTATGCGGTTATTTCTTATCATATCTCTTAATGCCAGCCCATGCAGATAAAGTTAGATCATTGAAACAATTTTGGAAGTACAGCATTTCTAAAGTTTTACCTGCTTCTCAGAAACAAAAGATAAAAAAGCAAAAGGACCAAAGAGGATACAAAATTTTCAAAGAGGTCAATTTATTTAAAATGAAAAAATTGGCAGAAGACAGAACAACTTGCCAGGGAGAAGAACATCTTCATTTAATTGTCTTACTCCCTTTGGTGCAAATATCAAAGGTTTAAAGGGTGGGACGTCTGAGAGAAGAAGTTACAAAACTAGAAGAATCTGTAGAATCTGGGATTCTTAGATGCATACTTTTTATCTAAAAAAATTTCTGGGGGGATTCTGTGGGGTTTTACTATTCTCAAATTATGAGACCCATTTACTTTCCTAGAATATCAAATACTCATTTGAAAGTTAATCAGGATCTTATATAAGTACTAAAAGAGATGAAAGCAGGCTCCACGGAGTTTGCTAGGTTTGAGTTTGAGTGAAAACAGCTGCGGACCTTTGTATGAACTTTTAAACTATGTTGACTCCTGGGAAACTAGCCCCAAACTTCACGGTAGTTCTTTGTCAGTGCCTGGTGGACACAGGAGAATGAAGGAAAATGAAAAGACAGATGGAGATTTAAAGTTTTAAAAACAGCACGGGCCAAGGGATTTTTGCTTCTTCTTGTGAGGCTTTAGCAAAGACAAAAACCCCAGGCTAGCTGTATATTTATTTCATACAGCTCGTAGGGGAGGGCCAAAATCTTTTCATTGTAATTCTTGCTGGGCTTGCTTTCCCCAATTAACCTATGCCTTAAACTAGCTACTTTAATCAAATTGATTCACTTCTTACTTACCTCATGCTAAATTATTTATGATTCTAACACAAACAGAACATGGGACATGGAAGACAGTCCTGGAGCGAGATGTCAAAGAAGAGCCCAATTAGGCCACGCACACAAATCTCAGAAATGGTTAAACCCCTGGGAAACCTTATGCTCAGAAGGACTGACACTTCTGACTATACCAAAGTGACAGAAGAATGGAGACATTTAAACATTCTGTATTCCCTAACTCCCCCAAAGCACTCACTCCCCATGAGAGGGCAGCCCTGCCCAGCCAGGGTGGGGGGTGGGAGCCCTGCCTGCTCAGTGACCTCACAGCACAGCCAGTCTTGCTGGGGGGTGGTGAAGTTTCAGCAAGACAGCCTCTGGTGTCTTAAAAGGGCCAGGCCTTTGGCAGTGCATTTTGCACCAGGCTTTGAGTTTCTCTGATCCACTTCCCTCCTGTCTCTCTATTCCCTTTTGTCCATCATCTGCAATCATTTTCTTAATTCAATTCCTAAGTTACTTACAACAACTGAATATTGGTTTTAAGCTTATGAAATCATTATTACTAGCAATGCAAGCACATCAAGGTATGACTCTCCCCTTAAGTACCCATATGTACATCCACAGTTAACCAATTCTCTGACATAGCAATAAAGCAAAAATACACAGGGATTCAGGATAGATACTCTCTGTACAAGAGTAAAAAATAAATATTTGATTATTGTTTCTTTATGTTTTACTCTCAAGATCTTAAGAGAGTGGAACAAAAGGTGAAGTATCTCACCTATTAATTTTACGTTACAGCAATCGTTTGGTACTAAATGTAAGATCTAGTAGAATACTGCAATTGCACAAGAAAAACTGTTAAAGCATCATAACTTGTCTCAGATTAGTAAGAAATAATCTTTAAAAGAAAGACAGCTCTGATTGAAAAAATACATATTTACATTTATTACACTCAAGCTATCTAAGCAATTGGCTATTAAAAGCTATTTTAGCACAATCCCAGGATGAAGAATATGGAACACAAACATACATATGCCCAGAATTATTGTATATCCTCATAATCAATAAAAGTAATATGTAATCTCTGATCTTATTAAACAGATCTGACTTACTCTGCGCAGGGCATTTTGAAAATCATTTGCTAGTTCCAGAGTAGTAACAATAAAAACTCCAAGAACCAAAAGTCCCCCTGGTAGCATTCGGGATACCTAAAAATAGAAACACAGTATTAGATAATAAAAGCATTTGGCATCATATGTGTTCTTTTCTGTTTGAGAAATTAAATATCTTTTTAGAACATCCTTATCTCTTTACCTTAAAACTACTTTATAAATAAATGCACCGGCTCACACAGCACTGTCTGTGAGGGAGTTTTGAGCAGTAAACAAGTAACTTTAATGGAACACTCCCCCTTCTCACCTTATCTGGCCCTCAATGACTTTTGTCTTTACCCTCAAACAAAGGAAATATTGAAAGAAAGACATTTTGATGACATTCAGGACGTCTAGGATAGTTTGATGACAGCTTTGATAGCATTCCAGAAAAAAGTTCAAAAATTGCTTTGAATGGTGGACCAGGCACTGGCATCAGTGCATAGCTTCCCAAGGGGAGCACTTTGAAGGTGACTGTACTGACATTCAGCAATGAGGTATGGAGCACTTTTTCTAAGATGAGTTCATGAACTTAATTGTCAAATTGTGTACCTGTCTATGAGTACATACATAGAAATATATGTGTGCATTTAAAAGGTCTAAAGTACATTGGAGAAAGAAATAATTCTATTTCTATCTCACTGTAACATTCTTTACTAGAAGATATATATAATTCATTCAATAGATACTTTTAAGAAAGTGGGTTAATTTATTTATCATTCCTTCTTGTCCACCCTAAATTTGTTTCCTTCTTGTATAAAGCAACATCATCCTCCTAGACATCCAGGCTAAAATTCTCAGTCATCTTTACATACTCCTTCCCTATATCTCTTCACTCCCAATCAACTTGATCACTAAATCTTTTGATTATAGCTCTTTCTCCAAAATGATTTGGCAATGAAGTTCTAGCCTTATGTATTAGTTTTATTCATGAATTCCTTTATCTAGTACTTTGGAGTTCCCATAATAAACCATGGAAATCCTAAGTGCTAGGCACTTAGGAAATTGCTATAAATAAAATAAAAGTGACTCTCGAGCTCACAAAGTTCAGAGTCTAGCTAGGTTAGGCTCACTTCATCCTCTCTTGGACCATCATTGTAATTATACATTTTCTGTTTTGTCTCCAGTCTACATAGTCTCCATTTACACTGTACCAAGATATTAAAGCTATTTTCTAAATTAATGGCAAATTAATCCCTTCTAAAAATAAGAAGTTCTGGAAGTCTACCATGGAGGTAGGCCTGCATTCAAAAACTACCCATAAACTGGTTTCTCCCAGTCTTATATCTAATTACATTCTTCTACACAGCCCACATGCCAGCAATATCCCATTGCGTGCTATTCCCTACCATCTTTTACTTTCTTGTCTTTGTGTTATTTATCCATACTGTCCTTGGATACCATGTGTTCCCTAACTACTTCTACTGGCAAAGTCCTACTCATCCTTCAAGTTCAGAGCCTTCTGTGAAGTCATTTTGAATCCAACTATTGGCAGTTATTTAATTACCTCCATCCCCCCTATATTCCTATAATACTTTTCTACTTTATTTCTATTATATTTGTTATTGGTAATAACGTCTTTTTCTTAGGTTAAAAATGTAAACTCTCTAAGGACATTTTAAAAAGAATTTAATCATCTATTTATTCTCTTGGTGCCCTGCATTACTCCTTGAAACAAGCAGACCATCAACTGTATTATCAATGATAAGAATTATTTTAGAGTAAAATAAAATGAAAATAAGTTAAATGACCAATAACAGGGATAGGTTAAAAAATTTCATAATCTAATGCAATGAAAAAATGTTAACAATGGAAAAACCATAGCATTTAAGAGGAAAGGCTTTCAGTTTACACTGCCTGGGTTCAAATCCCAGTTCTACCATTTAATTGCTATGTAATCTTGGGTGGGTGATTTAATTTCAAGCAAGAAACTACTTTTTAAAAACTAGACATAGATGAATCAACAAAGAAATATTAGCATAATTATGGATAAAACAGAATACTACTTTTGATATAATCTGTAAGTTTTGAAAATTTAACAAGTACTCTGAAATCCTAGTGTAGTACCCTGAGAACAAAGTGCTATTTTATTATTTTGTTGTTAGTGAAATAAACAGAAACTTAATTATGTGAAGAGAGAAATAAGGTGACCTGGTTGGCATGTTCTGTGGTCCACTCTTCATCCAAGTCATCCAACTTAGCTTTGGAATGTTTGAGGTTCTCATTTTGTTCCTCTTTGGGTGGTGTTCTAGTGGCAAGAATCACATAATCCTTTTGTGATGAACACTTCAAAAACAAATTATAAAAGCTTATTAGAGTAATATCTGATTGGGGAATCAGATGTCTTAGCTTTTCTAACATGCAAAAACTTAGTAATACTTGTAGCAGGTTAAACTGTCAATACCCATATTACAATAGCATGTGCAGGGAAACTAATTTCTAAGGATGGCTTCACATTTCTTTTACATGTTGTTTAGCTTTTAATATATTTAATACGAGCTTCTTATTATTTAGACATCCCAAACGTGAATCACAAAGTGGTCCTTCAAAACGGTTTACTAGATGAATAAATGAACTGCATTAACTAAAAGGTATATGCTTAGTCAACTTTCTAGTTATTGTTATTTTCTAAATAATTCGAATAGATTAGATGTTTAACAAATATAAAATATCAGTAAAATATTTTTACTGATTTTAAAAGCAACAAGTGACTTTCTGTATCTTGCTTTAACTGAAATGATGACAGCAGGGAGCTTGCACGTATGTGTCCACCACATAATGAAAAGAATCTGGGACACATAATTTGAAGTGATACCAGATTCTATGTTCTTCAATTTTTAATAGCAGTTAAATGGTAATCAAAACCTAAATTTAAATTTAGGGAACATTTAAAAGCTCAGTTTCACTACAGTGCAAGTTTCTTACACAAAGAATGAAAATGAGGCTGATAATGCAAGGCAGCATAGTGTCATCCTCAAACATGCCCTAAAACTCCCGTCAATCACATCATCTCAGGACAGAAAATAAAGCAAGAGTAAGTTATTACTATACAAGTTAATTCCAGAAAGTTACATTCAAATGTACACACAGAAAAAGAAGGTAGAAAAAAGACAGATGCTGATCAAATAGTTCTTTTTCCACAAAATGTGTAATTTTGAAAAGATAAAGAAACTGACACATAGTAGGAAACAGGTGAGCTTGAGGGGAAGGAAAAAAGGTCATGTACCGTAGAATGAAAAGGATGAAAAAGCACGTAGAATGCGGAAGGAAATGACAAGACACATGAAAACACTGGAAGACAGGCCCTAAATTTGAGAGACTTATTTGTAAGATGGTGGTTTTGTTGAGCCCTAAAAACAGGCTATCTCTAAAAAATAGTCTATATCCATTCGGTGAGACCAGTTTGGGAGAGGGTCTCTATCCCTGACCTTTTATCTCTACTGATCACATCTTTCTTTGACTCTTCTTTTCTTAAATTTTCAAAATGAAGGAAAGGAAAGAATTCAAATAAAAAGTTCCTAGCAAAAAGAGACCTAAATTAGATGCAAAGTAACCTGAACCTAAAGTTCACGTTGTTGCCAATACAGGCAATCTGGCTGTCTACTGAGAGGTCC